AGAAAAAATCCTTCCGTACCAGACTGTTATGCTGGAAGACGCTGGATGGAATCCAGCCAGATCGAAGGAATTTTTCTTAGTGCTTGGTCTTTCTATTGATAATTATAACAAACTAGTAGAGTAATTCCTCAAAAAACAATTTAATATCATGTAATAATTAAAATTGTATATTTTGTTGTTTTCGGGCAATAAATGAATATTTTTTCGTATTTACATTATAATTAGCGTAAATCTATTGGCAAGTCACGGTCCTAATAACGCAAGTTATAAATACTACGAATCGCCCTTTTTGTAATAATGATAATAATGCACACTATCAACATAGGCCCGCACTAGGGAAACCCTGTGTCGCGGGTGCCATGGACACACACATAGACGACCACAAATTACGCCCAAACTCACGAGAGAAATAAATGTAGGCCATACAATTATTTCTTCCGACGCGGGAATCGAATCTGGGACCTCTGCGTGGCAGTCCGGCATGGTAACCGTTCGTCCACGGAGACAGTTAGTTATATTTGTATTATAACTGAAAATATGTGCCCTGACAAATGGGCAAAAAAATAACCACATGGACAAAACCTCAAAATAAGAGGACCAGAGGTCGACCAAAAGAGAGATGCGACAGATGAAATAAACAAAGTAGCTGGCAAAGACTGGATGAGCAAGGCGACAAGTAGGAAACTGATCTTAATAACAATTTATTATTCTTATTTATAATTCAATTTCTATTCCATTATTATATTTTTAATTTAATTATAGAATTTTCTATTAATATGTGTGCGTTATTAAAAGTAATAAATGTATGGTTTGTTGAAGCAGCAGTATTCAGGTTCAATTACTCGTCGAGCAGAGCGACTGCGTCAACCCGTTTTTGTAATAGCACAGCGGCAGCGCTGAAAATACAAAACGCATCCCAACATTACTCATGGTTATCTCTCAATTCTACACAAAGAGATTAGAATAATTCATTACTAAAAAACAAATGAGAGGAGACAAGTGGGGCGAAGCCTCCCTTATTTTTGGCAACAATCCCCCAAGGAAAGGGGGTTTAAATTATGATCGTTTTATTACCGAAAACACTCTGAAACTTTGTTAAAAGAATAACAAACATTAAAAAGTTTAGAGAAGTGTTTCTTTGACAATTGTTTTTGTGACGAATTCGCGACTCATCTCATTATATCAAAAAAGTTTGACTAACCAGCAATTGTATTATTTTGTCATAATTGTTGCGTTACGGAATATGAAATACCTAAATTATTGTAATCTCAGTGGAGTTATTCTAATGTAGTGGCCACTACATCATTAAACCAACTAAATATATAGAGTGTTATCGTTAAGTGTGCCCAGGCACTACTGGGACCTTATTTCGTAAATATAAGGGATCAAAAAGCTTACATTGATATCGAAAGTACGTGACCTAATGAGTAAAAGGTTAAGCGCTTCCACACATTTAGTATGACACTCGTAAAGAGCCTTTAGTTTCGAACAACGGCTTCGAGTACCAAATTTTGTACTTACTTAAAAATAAACATCACTTCGTTTTCATTCAATTACAAGATAGTTTTGTTTAGTATCTGTAAACTTATTGTTATCTCTTAAATTAGGTCAGCATCTCTACCAATGTCATATTAAATGTATGGGAGCATTTAACGACAAAATTTTTGGTAATTTTTAATTTTGTTTGTAAAAAGCTATTGATGTCGTCTTACTCATTAGGCAATGTACTTTCGATATCAGTTTATTTATGTATATGTATATATATATATATATAGTATATTTTTATTTAAAACCTTAAATGAAAATACAATACTATATATATTTGGTATCTCTTATATTTATGGAATAATCGTTAGGATACACTTAACGATTACACCCTGTATATATGCCTCAAAATCTCTCTTACAATCGAAGTCAAAAGTCAAGAGCACATCCTTGACACTTTGGACCGTTCTTATCGTAAACGGCATAGAGTTGAGTTTAAATCTCAAGTGTCAGTACATAAAGGTTGGATATAAATTAATTGACGTTCTTAACGGAATTATGAAGGTCCTTACAAATGTTTAAGGGCCTTTTTGCACCTTACTAATTCCCTGTTTCCTCTCGTCCTCAACAATCAATAAGTACAGTTAGACAGTATGTACGCTTGTGCGTACGTAGCAATCGTTACAGCTGTTGTTCCTTGTTAGTTCTGTAACACATTAGTACGACGTTCGGACAGAAATTCGTTATTATAGAAATATATTTCGGCAGAAAAAAGTTAAAAAATTATAAAAGAATGTTTTACATTTCTCTAAAAACCCGTGTCATTCGCTTTATCACGTGATTTCGTATAATTACGTAGTTTTTGATATTGTGAACTAGAACAAGGGAGTACAAGCCATTGCTTCCAGAAGCCAAATATAGAGAGAGCATTACGCATTGCAAGTTGTGCTGCAGGGCACTATTTCCTATGAGGTCACTTGGGAACGAGACTAACCAAATCGACCATTGGAATCGAAATACCGAAGCATTACTCAAATCGACCATACTATTCGGTTTACGAACAATTTTGACGTAGTTTCAGTTTATTGAACAGTTTATTGTTAATGTAACTAATCAATACAACCTTGCCTCATGAGTCTACTTCCGTCTTCAGAAATCTAAAGTCCCGTGGAACACGTACGAAATGTAAGAAAGTTTGGGGTCTTAGCAAAAGGGCTACGCAATTGTATCGCTGCAAGACTCGTGATTCAATACATATCGCGAGGAGAATGTGCTCCTTCCCGTAATGTTGTTTATGTGTAACGTCTATGAAGTTTTGGATATTAATTGAGGAATGTAATAAATGTGCTGCAGAGTAAAGGCTAAAAATTAAGATAGCTAAAAATAGCTCAAGCTACTGCCTTGATGACGTAAGCAGCAATTAATTAATATCATCTAAAGTCTGCAATTGTCTCAGAAAACGACACTATACTCGTCTTCACTCAATAGGAATCTCCTTTGACGAGAAAATGTTGGCTATATTTACGGTTAAAAATAATTTTAATAGTAGAAAGTTAATCCGGTATATGGAGATTTGTTGACTGATCAATTTTTTAATAACTGTCTGTTATGACTTAGCTAACTGTTACACGACTGCCGCTTATCGAACAATATCAGAAACACAGTAGACTCTTGTAAGACATATTATGTCATACAAGTTATTAATTGAGATAAGATCCCTTATCTGTCATCTTCACAAGGTCACGGTTCCATGATAGGGAAATCTGTATGCGTCAACTCAAATATTTGATGCATGATTCGTGGCAAATTTACATTTGTTGTCTTTTAAATAATTCTGCGAAACAACAGTTAAGTAATTTATTCATAACTAACAGCAAAAACAAGGTTGTTTATTCTACACAGACAACGATGACTTTGCTATCAAAAAAGTTGTCTTATTTACTTTACTCTAAAGTTTAGTTAGTTGTAAAAATAAATTATACAAAAAAACCCTATTCTAACGTTTTTCTTTGCATTTAATTTTAGAGTTCGTGAGTAAATGTATTGGTGAATTATAAATTGGCAATGGCAATACTAAATTTGTAGTTAAGATCTTTGGTAGAATACGTTTGATTTCAAGAAATGAGCAGATATTTCTGAGAAATGGCGGTCGTAGCGTGAGTCAGAACAGGTACATGAGTCATTTTGATATCACGCCGTATATGGTTCTCATTCCTGGTTCACAGTTAGGCTACGTAACGCAAGTGAATGTATAGGAAAATACACACATATTTTTGTTAAAACGTACCGCTTAACAGTTATTTCCATGGAAGGTTGAAAGAGCATGCGTTGAAGGTTTCCAACTAAGCACCGAGACTAGTGATCTGCCGAAGGTGTTCAATATATAAGCCTTAGTCCATTGTGTGGATACGACATAATAACATAAAATTATAATAATAATATGTCAAATATCCACATTATTTATATCCAGATTTCAATATAGAAAAGTTCGTTTACTAAATTGGTCCTATCGGGAATCGAGTCTGGTACCTCCTCATCCAGCGCCCACAGTGCAAACCATTGGATCACTGAGATGGTCAAAAAAAGTAGCTGAGTTTAACGTTTTAAAACTAACTCATCAGTTTTTACAAGTTATACCTGTTTATCTGTTTATGTGCGTGCGTTTGTGCGCGTTAGTGTACACAACGGCTGATTCCATTTGGTTGCGGTTCTCAATGATGTATCAACACGAGCTTGGAATCATATTTTGTGTTTGTTTCATTTGAATGAGTTGACAAATAAAAAAATATGGCAACGTTAAAGCGCGCCCGCTGCGCGCCGGCCCTCCTCGCGACGCGCGCGAGGCGGAACGAAGTGCGGCGCTGATCAAACCCTTGGATATACGAGTACCTGGAAATAATGTCCTATAAAATATTAGTCATCAGTGATCTACAAAAAAGTCAGCAATACAATACTACCTAGTTTTATATTTAAGCTGTGATAACTTTTTTGTAACAAAAATAAATTGAAAAATAACAGTTCTTGTAAAGAAGTTTATTATTTTATCTTTGTTGTTTTCCGATGTTCCCAACCGCGTACACACCTACACGTTGTCTAACAAAATGAGCCCAATTGAAAATGTGACGTGACGGAAAACCCTATTATATATTATATAAAAAACAAACACAAGAATATGTCCATACTCACGTATCCTAAAGCCCTGCTCGCTAATACGAGGAAAATTATTTAATTCATGGCTTGATTCATAGGAAACCACAGGAAGTAATTTATAAAAGCTGAACTGAGCATTTGATTTGTCATTCCTTGCTGAACTTACGGACAAGACGAAGCTCGAAGTGCTTAATTGTTATGTTTTAATTCTAATTATTTGAGTGAGAAAGAACATACAGAGTGTTTGCAAGAAGAAAATAAACAAGCAATGTTGTAATTAAGTTGCCATTAAGAGTGTTCAAGAGTGGTTGCTTACTGAAAGAAAACTTGAAGTGAAGAGAGAGGCTATCATCAAATATTGGAGAGAAAAAAAGAAGGCGAATAAAAAATGGCGAGTTCGTGTCTAAAAGGAGCGTTTTGTTTGGTGAACGTGCTGTACACCATCACGGCTCTAATAACAGCGGCCGGAGCCGTATTCTTTTGTCTAGCAGTCAAGGAAATTACCGACTTAAGAAACTACGAGAAATATCAATTAGATACCACTGTTTATTGGCCACAGCTTTTGCCCTACATCTTCATTGCTGTTGGTGCCCTGGTGCTTTTCGTCATGTGCTGCGGCTGTTGCGGCGTCGGATTCGAAAACAAAGAGTTGCTTATCACGTACAACATATTTATAACTATAGTCATATTAATATTGTCCGCTGCGGGAGCTGTGACTGTTGCAGTGGCCATTCAAGAGAGCAAAGAATTCACGAATGAGACCATACATGACGTTTTTAAACAAGCCCAATTGCGAGTTGACGTAGCTCAGAAGTTTGGTGAATTCGAACAAGCCCTGCACTGCTGTGGAGCCGATGGCGTTAGAAATTACCAGCGCATACCATTGTCATGCTGCGATAGCAAAGATGACATCACCTGCAACGATATTATGAACCAAAGAAAGGGATGCATCGAAGTCGCTAACCATTGGATCAAGTGGATATTCATAATTGGCACAACGGCGTCGGGCGTCACGGCGTTTTTGTGTGTCATTAGTTTGGTACTGGCTATTTCAATTTTAAGAAGTATGAGAATGAAAGTTGTAATATAAGTTAATATTTTATATAGGTTCTATTAGATTTTATCCTGATACTCAGAGGAGGTTCCTAGCTCTTGAACTTTTATGTGCTTGGAGCACATATAACTAAGGATTTTTTTTCCAAATTTACTATTTACTGCGAGCAATGTATAGATTGCACGAAATAGTAAATTGTTGTTAAAAATATGGTGTGAAATTTGTACAATATATTTAATAGTTGCCTTTACTCGTTGGTCTATAAAGGGAAGTAATGTTTTGCTCCCTCAGCACTGACGAACGGCTATGAACCTTTGTGATATAAAATGTAATGTACTAGTATCTAAGTCAGTTGTTGTAGCTATACATATTAGTAACAAAATGCAAAAGACGGGCGAATAAATAAGGCTGGTGTAACGTGTACCTGTCTCATCGGTAAGCTTGTAGATCTTATGTGGTACGTGTCGCAAGTTCGCGTTGAGCCGTCGCCGCCGTCGGTCTTAATTTGCATCTTCCGCTGTAGTTAGTGACGTAATTCAGTAGCCCCACTTACATGACGAATTTAACAATGTTTATAATATGAATGACGATGAGACTACTGCGGTTAGGACTTTGCGCAATTGTTATTTGTACTTCGTTATTTGTTTTTTACGGTTATCCGTTATGTCGATGTTTCGTTGCCGCATACTGGTTAGAAATTCTATTCAACGAATTGTCTATTACTTACTTTACAATGATACGAAAACTGTTTCATTAATTAACTAAGGGTTTTCGGTTCTAATACTCACTTGAATTGATTTCAAGGAGATCCTCAAAACGTTGCAGTGCAACTGTTTAAAGTAGGTAATTTATTTAACTATAAGTTAGGTAGGCGATATATTTGTCGATGTTACTCCATTATTTAGCAATTTTAAGTTTATTATTAAGGAATCCTTTAGTGCATTTATTTGGCCAAATAATATATACGTTACGAAAATTCTTTTATTTCTTTCTTTACTCCGTGTACGGTGTTGGTCAAAATAACAAAAATATTTAATATTCGCGCACCGAGTGTAAGTATTTCCTACGTTTTAAGTAAAAGGGTGCCTTAAAAGGGTGCTTTAAAAGTTGAAAGGTGATCGGCGACTAGTCCAATAAAAATGAAAATAAATGAATACATAATGTGATATAACGAAATGTTGACGCCGAGGATCTTGACATGTCAATGACGTTGACATTTTTTATAGTTATCGGAAATAATAAAATGCTCAGATAATATATTCCACCTACGCCTACCTAATTGCTTATCGAAGCAATTATGGAGATGAGGCATCTCTTAAATGAATATTGTCATATTGTCGTTTTTCAGGTTTCACAGAATTGCTAAATTGTTATTCGGTTATTTACTCGGGTAAGAATCAGTGATGACCTGATTTTGAACAAAATAAATAATTTGATAATTTTACGTAAATGTTTTCTTATTACACATAACCGGGGCTCCATCGGGGCCGGGGGAAGGTGCGGCAGATGTACAAGGAATACAATTCATGCGAATTATATAGAGTGACCGCAGTGGAGATGAAGTAAAGTATGATGAATAACTATATTAAATTTCCACAAAGGTATTTCTTAAGTTTATATTAAGTAAATAATTTTAAGAACGTCCGAAGTTAGGTACGTTGGGCCGAAAAAAGTCTCATAATTATAATTAAAATGACGAGTTTTGCATCGGTCACGTCGCAATGCACGGGGCGCGCGTTCCGGGGTGCGCGAATGCAAGTGCATTGACCTGACGATTTAGGTATGTGTGTTATGTGCAAATCTGGATACATAACATGCGTCTGCGGGGAGACTCCTTTCGTGCACTCCACTGAGGTGCTAACAATAAAAAGTCGCGTTAATACAGCACACTCATACTCGCAGTATGTCACGCAGCCAACGAAGTATATTTGCTATCATATGTAGGTATTATGAGTGGAGCATTGTGTGGTAATTAGACCATTGTAACGATTTCCTGTGCTCGCCCATGGCTCATCTGCACTCATGAGACGTCTAGTACTTCCCTTTAGGGCTTCAAGTTTACTCAGAACTTTCTGGAAAATTCTGAAGGATGTCTAGAATTTATAATAGAAGTAACAACTTAATAACAAAACAATTAATTTATTATACCTTGCCTATCCACTGTAGGGCTCCGGTCTTTTAGGATACAATTTAACCACTGTCCTTGGGGTATGTCCCCAACCCACACGCGTTCCGAGGGTTGCGAACCCTTTTTTTACAGTACTAAGTGACGGGAGGAACTTGTTCTAACGACTTGTCGTTTGCTTGGTGGTAAACGACACGTCTGCTCATAACAGTTGCTGTGCCACTCAGAACTTGTACTGTAACTCTTCCAGCACCCTTACCCTTCGAAATCGGAATGCAGCAACGTGAACACTACTGCTTGGCATGGCGGCAGAAATAGGTGAGGTGGCAGCACTTTCCTCGACAAACTCTTCCACAAGGAGCTCTACAGCAACTACTCCTTCAACATGCAGGTTTGTACAAGATGTTTTCTTGCGCGGTGTTGCAACTAAATGTTTACAAAAATTTCACTTGGAAATTAAAATGTACATGTGCCAGAGATTCGACCCTCGAACCTCGCAATTGAAAAACTACCGTTCTCTCAATGGGCCATCATTGTTTTTTATACAATGTAAATATTGAACACAAAGAAAGAATTGCTCTGCCAATCTAATGGATTCGTCTATGTGTTTGTTACAGATCTTCGTGTAGGGTTCTTTGAACTTTGTAGCGCCGTAAGCATTATTCATTGAATTGGCTTCATTTCAGTAATGCAGCGAAAGTTATGAGAATCCAAATTTAATATTCTTATCTAGTTGGTATATGTATATTGTTTGGTATAGCTTATAGTATCCATCTATAAACCATTTGTCATCGACGTCATTATCAGATGTTGTTCGTCAAACTTTGAACACTGTTAGATTTCCGCATTCGCTGGCATCCGACTGTCTTCCGGATGACATCCGCTGAGCGTGCCGTTGATCTGCTCAATTAGGGCTCCCTGGTCTCGATCATCGCAGCGTGATCGCCTGTCTCATCGCTTCGCAGATGACCCACGGCAACTTCAATTGGACAAGACTCCTGTAAGGAGATTCTGACTGAAGTCTATCATACGGTGGGTAGAAAACTTTAATTTCATCGTGATATTTTGTGTGATATTTTTATCGTCGAAGCTGCTTCCCAGAAAGATATTATAAGCAAAATCTATCAACCGAATGTTTGAATACCAGGTCTGATTGGTTCAAAAACTTTCGTGATTGGCTGCGAACCGTGTCTCCAAACTTCAGCCAAGAGATCGCATTCAAAACTCACTTGACGAATGAAGGGATGCTTACATGCTGCCCGGAACAGTGCTTTTATGCTTAACCAAGTTAAGAAGTTTGTGGCTCAATCAAAAAGTGATTCGAAAACTCTTGGAAGTAGAGTATAGGAATATTTTATTGTAAAACACTTAAAGGTACTAGAGTACGACTTTCAAATTATTGTTTTACTTTCCTACCACTTAGAATAATAACGCATATATTAAACGTAAGTATTGGGATACATTTTTGATTGAAAATGAAATAATCCCGTAATAATAATTTCAATAAACCACAGACGGATAAGCGGTTTTGCACATTAATATTTTTTGCAAAAACTGTGTCACAACTAAACGTGTACAAGGAAGTTTACATTGGTCATGAAACCATTACAAGTGTTATAATCAAAATAAATATTTGTACAAGATATATTGGACAAGTGCGAAGAATTCTGCATCACTTTAATGGATTATTATTGTTGAGCAATTTTAATCAACAAAGGTTTTTGACTAATATATAAACAAAAGAAGAGTATATATATAAGTTACCCTACCTGTAACAATTTTAAGTAAATTAACTTATGATTTAGTGTCCCTTGAAAGTTACGTGTCAATGTGTATTTAAAATAGAATTTAATCTTGAATCATATGTGTAGTGAAAGAAATGCAAATGGCCACGAATTTCGATCGCGTGATATTAGCACATTGTGTACTCCCTGTAGGCTGCTACTCATGCAGGATACTGAGGGAAAATGTAGACAGTTGCTAGAAATGAAATGCGTTTCACTTTTTAGGGGAGACCAGAAACGATTGGATGGTGGCATTGTATGAGCTGGAAATAAACCGTGCTGGCTTTGCGCTTTCATTGTTTTGTTTCCACCATTTCCAAAAGATTCTTTCGTAGATTGAACTATTGGCTTGTGACTTTTGTACATATTGTATTAAGTTAATTATATGTCACGGTTAATCGTAACCTGTGACGCATATTAAAGCAACAATTTGAACACCTACTAATTTGTCAATAAAGTAACGATTAAACGCAAAATAGTCATGATGTTGACTCAGAGCGAAGGAAAACCACCGCAGCGCGACCGCAAATTACGATACGTGAACACGGTGTAAGACTTAACACAACAATATTCATTCATAGTTTTCTACTTTACTCTATTTCTTGTATTTCTGGCGCACCTTACGCCGTCGGGTGCCAAATACATTCACCACGATGGCAACCATTATAATGTATGGCATCGACACGATAAGAAGAAGAAGATGACTGAGACCCATGGTTGTACAATGTACATACTGCCTCTGAAACTTTTCTTAGCATTTTGTACATAATCTATTGAAAAAATTGAATATGGTTTCCTATTAACTTGGGGTATATCCTTTTTACCCGCTGACGTGTCCATGTCCACTTCTTTTGGGAACCTGAGTACGTCAACCTGGAGGTGAGAAGAGGTTTAGCATTGGTCTCGTACCGTACAGTACATACTCAGAATATTTCGCGGTCAAATTTCTACTCGATTTGTTTTAGCGGGCTGAGTTTATGCATACTTTATAGCCATGTGGAGCGATGGCGGCAGCCGCGTCTATTCCGAATAAAATAACTTCCAATATAAAGCACAGAACATCGTTTATTGAATATATTTGTTTGCATTTGGAGTTAACGAATTCCAAAGGGTTACATTATTTTATTGTGTCGTGTTTGTATGAAGTCAATTATTAAGAAGATTTAGTGATAATGATATACATATATGTAGTTTTAAGTTGGAATTTACTGCATTACCGCATTAGGTCACCCCGCAATGATAGTGGTAAGGTTTAACATAAATAAATAAGCTTACAAAATGGTTTTAATTGAACGTATTTGAATTTATTCAGCGGAAACTTGATTTTGCATCCGCTTGCTTATTTGAGGTACACTCTGAAACCGCTTAACCAATTTTAAAATGTCTTTCCCAGTTACATAAAGTTCATTTTTAAACAACTTGCAATAAAAGAGAGGGAGTTTAATTTCCAACAAATAACCACTGTCGACGACCGTTTACGATTGTTTGTTTCAAGCTTAAAAACGTAAACAAACGCAGTTACAAGTATTTGCATCAGTGGAGCACGTGAGTGACCTTAGTGCCAATTGAAGAACGGGCGAGTACACCAGCAATTAGTTACAATTATCAAATCGCCTCGATTACCGATGAGTTAACGCTATCGATTACGTGCAATGTTTCTGTGCAATTACAGACTACGTGCTTTATAGATTTAAGTGATTCCTACACATAGGCGAAGAATATACACGCCATCGTCCGTAGCAGATCGGTTAGCATGCAGTTTTCGTTCAAGCAAAGTTTTTATGTTCTGTTGTGTGTAAAAACGACGGCATTCCGACATCGCAGCTTTTAAAAATATACAGCATTCCGTTGGGTCATTCGTAAATGTATACATATATGTTTGTGTACTATGTGCATTGCAGACTAGGTACTGAATAAAAACCCACATGTGTGTCCAAGCCAACTGTATTGGTTTTAGAGGTTCCAGGTTTCGATTAGAGGTTTCGGAAACCTGGTGATTGATCTGGTTGGTAGTTTACATTTTAAAAATAACATAAATTCATAAGACATTTTAATTAATAACACTACTGCAATACAAACTTCCGATTGGTTAAAGTGACCTTGGTCCATTTTTACTGGACTACTTAACAGCCCGTTAAGTTTCGTTCACGGTAGAGTAAGCATAGTGAACAGGCGTTGCTTCACTTTCCATTGTTATAACAAGATTAACTATTTCTAAACTATTTGTTATCAAAGCAGTGAGAGCCTTGTTGAAAAATTGTTTACTTTCCAATAGAAGATTCTAGTACAGATTTTCTGAATCACAAACATTTTGGTATATTAATTATAAAAGATTAATTTGGAATAGAACATGCTTGTTAGAGAGGTTTCAAAATCACCCCGCAAAGTGCCAGCGTATGGGACCCTACGAGAGACCCGTGCACCGCACCCAAGTCTAAGGGTAAATGCATGCTATAAAAATATGAATTCAAGGACTTAGATATTTTAGTAAAAAGGATAATATACATATATTTTCTTTGTTTTTATGACACCAAGTGACGGGACGTACAAGTGGTGGGCCTCTAAGGTGGTCAGCGACACGCCTGTTCATCGCAGTCGCAGTTGCATTGCCACTCGGGGCTTTCAATCGCAATTATCTGAGGGAGACATAAGTGCTCAAGTCCCGTGTACCGTTAATTTCACCAGCACTCTTAGCCTTCAAAACTGCCGGCAGAAATAGGTCAGGTGGCGGTACTTTTGTGGACGAACTTTTTCACACACTTTTTTGTACTGCTAACTATACTGTGTATATTTTTGTTAACGTCAGGAAGCCCTTTAAGGTCCAGTGAGTCAATTGTACGTACCGTAAAATGAATTCGATAAACCGTGATTCAGACGTGGTTGTTTCCTCGAATAGCGCTGACTCATCTAACAAACACCATGAATGAGATACGAATAATAATTTCAACATGACCTTACGATTTTTTATGTCCCCAGTCGTCGAACCTGAAACCTTGAAGTTACTTAATTTACACTTGTGTCACTGATCAAACAGAAGGCATTTTTTCAAACGTTAAATGTTTGTTCTTGGAAAAAGAACGACACAAAATAAATGTTATTTCACAAACTTTTGTAGTCATTTTTATTTATCACTTTTAAACCACTAGTCATTGTCTGATTAATCATACGGCGACATATAAAAACTTGATATTTGAAATTAGAAGAAGGCACATAAGGAACCTTTCATATAAAGAAATATTAACCATTATTGACATGCTTGAAAGGAGATTGAGCTGCAGTTAAACTTCAATCGCGATATAGGGAAGCCAGCACCTATCTCCTTTATTCAGATATCTCATAGACATAAAGATGTAGGAATTCTTATTCATTATTATCAGTCCAGTCGTTTTTAACTGACTTCAAAAAAGAGGTTCCCTTGTACTCTCTGCTCTTCTGGAAGTAACCATGTGATTTGTTGCAGTTTTCTCATTGCCATATAGTCCTCTGTCGTAGCAGCTTTTCTTTTTCTAGCTTTTATTCAATTTTTGGTTGCAAACTCAAGTAGCTTGCGACTCTATACTCCGTCGTCACACATGACCTGCGTATTTCTACCTTCTTTGTAAGATCGGTCACTTTAGTCTTATACATTGAGGGTCTTTATTAATGATTGGGAATGTCAAGAGGGGGCGGGAGGTTTGTTTGTAAACTTCTCGCAGGTAATGTACCTAGTTGTGCATGAACGCGAATCTTCTCACGCAAGCGCATGCAAGTGTGTCAGGTATTCTCACATATGCATTGTGTTACGATGACAATGTTTTAACAAAATTAAAAAAAAGATAATGTGTACATCGTAATTGTTTTTTCCTTATAATCGATTGACTAATTTATTATTTGAGTAATTTGTTTACAAAAAATTGTTATTTATGAAAAATTGTTATTGTTGTTTATGATGAAAAATTGTTATTCGCTTATTTTTTTAAATTAGACAACACACAGACACTGACAGTATAAAACGAAAGTAAGCGGGGTAAACATAGAAATTTGTATATGCTGGTCTAAACGGATTTTGTGTAACTGTTGTTAGTTATGTGTACGCTAACATGCAAAATATTGTCCGTTAAGTTCAAGTTCAATCCATCGGCTTAGCACCAATGTAACACTTATCTAAGCGTTCTATTCTCGAGCAGGAGTCATCTCGTTAAGAGCTCTGATTCATCCCATTAGTAGGAAGTGATCAACATCCTTCCGACCTTGCGAAGACACTCGTTTATAAAACCTAGCCATCGCCCGGCGACGCCATTTAATCACAAGTCTGCGCTCTCGACGCACGTCCACAACCGTGTTAAATCGACCGAGTGTAAAAGTAGTCAACCATGGCCGGTCACCCTTCCAAGTGCTCGCTACACACTTTGAACGCGTTATACATGATATTCGCCCTCGCTCTAGTCGCCGGCGCAATTTGGTTCTTCGTCGAAGTTACCGAATTCACAAATTTAAGAAACAGCAATCATTATTTGTTGGACTATAATGTGTACTGGCCACAGGCGACGCCGTGGATATTTATAGTGGTCGGTGTAATGGCTGTTTGTGTATCATGCTGCGGATTCTCTGGTGTGAGGAAGGAGAAAAAGGGATTGCTCACAGTCTACAACGTATTCCAAGGTATCACGATTATTCTCCTAATCGCTGCGGCAATCATCGCCCTTGTGTTCGCTGACAGCAAAGCGACAGACGATTTCATCAACGACACCGTGTGGGATGCGTACTTCCAATCGAAATCCGAAAAAAACGTCGAAGCTGCCTTCTCCATCATCGAGCGACGCCTCCACTGCTGCGGGTCTGAAAGTCCCCGAGACTACAAGAACTGGAAAAATGAATTTCCACCTTCCTGCTGCGATACTTACTACCACGGATGGATCGGACAATACGTTCTGGATTGCGACTTCACAAACAAACTGGCCAACGAGAGACATGGATGTGTACAGGTGGCGACACAGTACTCGAGGATCTTCATCAAAGTTTTGTCTGCTGTGTCGATATTCACGGCTCTGCTAGGCTCCGTCGCCTTGGTGCTGTGCGCACTGTACACGAAGGCGTTGCGTCCGAAACCAAGGGTGATTAATCGAGTGGAAACCGAGAGCAACAAAGGCCTCTTGTAAATGAAACTGTAAAGTTCCTTAAGGCATAATTGTGTTTTCACGGGAGTCCATTTACACATGTAAGTAACGCTTATCTCGTGTTGTGAGACCGTACCGTCACCAGAACAAAAATTCAAGTTAGTTAAGTGTGTGATTATACAGAAATGTGATAATTTATTTTGTAATCTCAGTTTTGTATGTGTCACCAATTTTGTAACTGTTCTCTTTGATACTTTGCAGTAGAGGCAGTTTCAAAATACGCTGCACATTAAAAGCTACTAAAGTTCTTGTAAGGTGCGACTCTACCTCGGTGTAACTTTTCAAACATGTAAAACCTGTTTTTTAAGAAAAATACAACCAGTAGTATTTGTGTGCTTAAATTGACAATAATCATATAACACACGTATATGTGAGCGCACAGCAGCTTTCAACAATGTCGTTGTAAGTTTTTCCTTTCTCGTTTGTAGAGAGTGACTAACTAAACAACGCTTGCGTAACTATGGGTCCGAAACACGCGTAGAAAATGTGATAATTTGCAGAATATCACAAAACAAAATGTCACATGGTCTCATTGGGACGAGGGGAAGGAAAGCGGAGTGAAGGGTGTGTGGTATTGTATGGAGATTTTAGTTCCGCATTTTCGTAGCCTTGTGGATCTATGTACTATTGTCCTTGTCCCTTGTGTTTGTAACTACTGTATTTTTCAACGACTGTGCGCGTTTGATATACTGTACTGTGTTCCTTACAAAGTAAAACGTTGGTTTATGGTACAAATTAATGCATTTTAAATGTAAACGAGTCATGTGTACACTTTGTATGATTTTCGCAAAACCATTTAGCCTTTAGTTCCTTGTTTATATCAACAGTATTTAAATCTGCGCTAACGATGATGTAACTACCTAAAAAGTTTTGTGTGTCATAGACACCTAGATTGTAAAAAAGTCGTAACTTTATGAACTAGCGCCATCTAGTGTGTACGTTGTTGACAATGTTATCTTCAATCTATTTTGTATAGAGTTTTGGTGTTTGTCCAGAAGGACTTTTGTCCATCCGTATTGTAGCCTTGATTTGTATGTAATTGGGGTATCTTGATAATGTTTTATGGTGCGCATATGTGCGTCCAATATTATGAGCAAAGTCCTGAATCTGTAGTTAAGCTCTACGATATGGTGTCATTGTGTGAATTTTGTGTACCTGTTCTAATTTTAATTCTTATTATAAGTGACTGACTGAGTAAAATGTAATAATATATTAAAATCTGACAAAATAAAAACAACTAAGAATGTCATAATATTATTGTAATGTGAAATTTTCTCCCACCCAGTGTGATTGTAATATTTATTAATTCATTGTGTCATTAGCTTTGTATTAGAATCTCGAAAACCAGCACCCATTAAGTGATAATATGGAAAACGTTAATGAGTATGGTTTCTAGTTTATAAGAATGTAGATTTTAAGGGACTGAAGTCGTCTAAGCCAAATGTATAAGTTTGTAAATATAGGTAGTAATAAAAATGTTTTACATAAAAATTGTCATTTGTTTTTAAAACCCCTATAATTTGTTTATGAAAATCAACATTAATTCTTTCCATTCTATAACATTATAAATTTAAATTCCAAAACAATTACATTTTAAAATCTAGAATTTAAATTTTAAATGGATCAATGGCGAAGATATAGAAAATCTCTTGCGCAAATAAGCTATAACGTCATAGCAAAAGGTGTGTTGGCAAATGTGTGTCAGGCGATCTGATCGGCGCGAAGGCGAGAGGTGGAATGGCGACCAGCAGCGGCGAGCCTCGAGGCCCACGGCACGTCGTCACGTTTATAAAACTAGTTGCGTGATCGCGCCGCCTCTCATTCCGTTGACAACGATCTTGCCGTACGGTCGATTACGTGCCCCTCGAAAGCCTTGCTATGGCAAAGGAAGACATGTACAAAAACGTGCTTTATTTACTCAACATCATATACGCTGTGTTCGGTTTAGTGACAGCCGCGACTGGGATATGGTTCTTTGTGCAAGTGACCGAGTTCGTCAGTTTGAGGAACACCAACCATTATTTGTTGGACTATAGAGTGTACTGGCCTCAAGTGGCCCCGTGGCTCTTTATTATTTTGGGCATTTTCATTTTGTGTGTGGCTCTTTGCGGGTGGTGCGGAACACAGAGGGAGAGCCGTGGTCTCCTCGGGATATACGCTATCTTCCTTATTATCATCATCCTTGGACAAGCCGTCGCAGCTGTTCTCATCTTCGTGTTCGTCGACGGTGAATACACCGACACCTTCGTCAAAGACATTGTTTACGACGGATACTACAACTCGCAATCCAACCCTGATGTGTTCAAAGCCTTCGGAAGGATCGAACGGAAACTCAAGTGTTGCGGAGCTAATGACGCTAGAGATTACAGAAGCTGGAGAAACGACCTGCCTTTGACCTGCTGCTTGGACAGCTACTACAGAGCCACTTGCGAGTTCACGGATAAGGAAGCCAACGAGAGATTGGGATGTGCTAAGGTGGCCGCTGTTTACACTAAGATCATCAGTTCAGTAATCGCCGGAGTGACTCTTCTGATCGCGCTCTGCGAGATCGTGAGTCTGATCCTCGCGTGGAAACTGTTCAACGAGGTAGGGGAAATAGAACATTATATAACAGAACGAAAGGACGGAGAAACAGAATGTTAAGCACCAGTATTCCTACATCACAACACCGATTAGCGTCACAATCCTCCGATTTCTCGATTTATTTGCGCCATTTACGATACGAACGCGAACTTCGATTCGCCTTAGACTAACTTTTCTTTCGCCGCTAAAGTTTCACTGTAGATCTTCCAAGGCGTTTTATTGCATTTGCTTTACTAAATAAAGTTTCCATGTTTCCTTGTGCAAAGGAAAACCCCGAATCTTTATTTTGCGTCCAGACTCGCTGGAACTTGGAAATAAGTACGTAAGATACTTCTAGCTGTAGCTTTTAAGTTGTGCCTTACATTCCACTGGGTCGCTTCGTCGGGTTCAATTGGCGTTAATTTAATTCGGGAAGAGGATGAGCCACGCCTAAGGTCAGAGTTCATATAAAGACTGCCATATCTGGTGAGTGGGCTAATGTCCTTCTTAACTGAATGAATCACATACCTGCCTGACTCACATGCCACTCAACTGAAAAGACTTCATCTTGCTGGCCTCCCACCAAGTGTCGCGTGACGTCTGTAGTTTAAGATACATTGCGCGTTGACTTCGCGTCGTGCAAGCGAGTTTGAGCTTGAGCGTCGATGTAGTAGACCTTAAGATTTGTTCTCGTAGATATTAGAAGGTTGAGAATGAGAAAAGTGTGGCCTCGATACAAGTATGCAGTACCTGATGGTTTTGACATCGTGTTAGAGCCACGGTTCTAAGTACACGCAGTGCCCACTGTACAAGTAACAAAATGTTAAGTAATTGTGTATTTATGTCGTAATGTAATGCTTGTGTTCGATTTGTATACTCTTAAGTAGGGTCAGTTTAAACAGTTGGCGGCGAAAGTTTTTCATTTTCAATTTTGTATACACGTTTGTATGAGTACATAACATATATGGTATATTAACTCGTACATGCGTATGTGGTATACACAAAGTAATAAGTAGGGTTACATGTATGTATATTTTATTAAATGCCTCACTACATTGTACGTTTAATTTATATATGTATTCACTAATATATGTACATTTTTACATATATTTGCCCCACAATATAAAAACCACCGATTATAAACAATATTCATAATATATTTACATATTATTTTATTATTTTTGTATTTGTAAGTATTTTTGTGTGCCCATGTTAAGTAACACCTTTCTAATAAGAAAACGTTCATATATCTATACGTTTCTATAAAAATGTATATACGGTCATGACGGTTATATAAGTGACTTTCGCTGTCGACTGGTCTGAGCATGGTTCCCCTCGATTGGACCACCGAGGTATGTTAATTTTTACGCAACCGACCAGGTACAAGCCGAGATACGCTTAGCGAGACTTGAATGGCAAATGGCGCAATCGCCATGTACCAATTCCGCAACATGTCGTAAGCGTAAGCTGTATATATTTTTTGGAAATGTCAGAGTGCCACCACTGGTGCTATATTTCGTTTATTTAAATACAAATTTGTATACTTTTTTAATGATCTTGCAATGTTATTAATTAATTGTATTGTATTGTTTTGACTAAGTTTGTGGAACGAATTTCCGTCCTTTACAATTGTAAACGCCATATTTTAATAATAATAAATTAAGTTTTATCAATGTTACCGTTAGGGGAGATGTATGAATTACGTTAGTTTTTCAGGGTGGGGTCGGGGTCAGATACTGCGACTTCACAGTCGAGTTATTTTTTAAGAACAAGAGTAGCAAAAAATGTGCAACGTAATTCATTTTCATCCCCTTTTGTATGTATGGAACAGTGTGTCTTCACAAGCCAAAGAAAGAAGTGTAGGTACAAAAGATGAAAAAATACAAAAAAAAAAAGATATATATATTTTTTGCATGCAAAAATATTCTATATGTTAGTGTAAGGTTAAACGTGAGATCACGGGAAGAAATATGTAATGTTTAGCTTGTGTAAGTTATTTTTGTACGCCTTAAATTAATGTATTGATATTGTATAAGTCGGAACTAGTCTTAAGATGTTGCGTTTACATTAAAATGTGTAAATTATACCTTATTCACGTGTGTTTTCATTTCATTTTTGGTCATCCTGCTAACATTCACTGATCGTGCTATTATAGAGAAGACTTTCGGTTTAACTAATTAAATTATTTAGAACCGATTCGTCCAGCAGTGTGTGTTGGACGCGTGATTGATTCACATTTACATGGCAATTTGTTTCAAGCAATCGTTTTACCAATTAAAAGTTTCTTATTTTGACGAACACGCAATTTTAAATCGAAAGAAACTGAAGTTAAATCTGATATAAGTAATTAAACTGTGTTAATGTGCACTGCTGAGCATACATCTCTTTTGTTGTTTTATGACATTGTCTCCCTGGCCTCAGTGGTCCGGCTGGTAGCAGTTCTGAGAGCTACTTTTCGCTACTCTGGTGGGCACCATGTGTACCCTACATTAAGACCAGGTAATAGGTGCGAGTGTCTATAATAATTGACATTATAAGGGTCATTGTATTCAAAGACGGAATTATAAAACTGGCCATTTACCATAAGCTGATTTAACTATCCTAACTTCACTTAAAAAGTTGTTTAAAATGTTAAATTTCTCATTTGAGACCATGTTTCATATCAAAGTATTTATGTACATCTCATAATAATCAACGTAATCATCATACCATACCTTCGACAACTGCATACGGTTTTAGGTCTTAATTTGGCACGTCATCAAAGCTTTTGTGTCCTACGTGCAGGTTTCATCACAAAGGTTTTCTCCGCTGTTAAAACATCTGATGTTATATTTTAGTAAATAAATTAGTCCTATATCGACAAAAGCAACTACCATAAAAATACAAGTGCAATAAAAAAAAACTCTATCGACTGTAGTAACTCTATAGTAATATCTTCCAGGAAGCCACAAGCCAGGTGACAATAATAAAAATAATAATTTGAGGGTGCTCTAAATGATCATTATAATTATGGTCTTAAAATCTATATTGTACCTTAAAATAAATAGATTATTTTATCAACAGTTATTGTAAAACGTTTAACATTGGTTACGAATTAATCTTAACCACAACGAAAAACGAAAGAAAAGGAAAAAGAAAGGAATAACATATTTTCCTCCTTCTTTCTTGCCACAAAAATTTTTGAACTAGTTATTGTTCATTTCTACATTTGATAAACATACAAAATCTACACTTCTAGCGAAAACGAAAAAGAAGTGAAATAATAATTTTCCTTCTTCTTTCTTTCCCACGAATCTCCAGTGTTGCCAGATGGTTACATTTCTTACATTTTTCGTAACATTTGACCCTTTCGCGTAATATGTAAGTAACTTTTGCTTTTGTGGCGATTTTCGTAACTTTACAGTAAGTTGAGATTTTGTAAATTCAACTGCATTCAATTGTAAGTAGTTTACGAATGCACCCAAATTAGATAATAAAGTAGCGGAGATGGCAAAACTGGCTAAAGCTTAATTTAAGCGTAAATAAATAAATACGTACCGTTAATACTTGGATGAAAATGTAACTTTTGCAGCATATATGTAAATTTTTAGTTAACGAAACGTAACTTTCGACTCAAGAGCCCTGGCAACACCGTGAATCTCTTAAAACGAATTATTGTTCATTTCTACATCTGATAAACATATAAAATTAACAGTATATTTTAAACGTGTCTAATACATACCGTATGTTAGATACGTAAATATTATTTCTCGAAAGCAACGGACAAAACAACAAAATAAAAAACCTGTTTTTCCACTATTCACTAACTTTGATGACATCACCGATTAAACGTTTTCAACGGTCTTGACGTGATTGTTGCTATATAGCTCAGCATCGTGGAATATATTGTCTGGCTGTTTATCTATACCTTGGAAATATACAAATATGAACAATTTCATAGCTGTGATAGCGTTGTTGGGAGTTTGTGCTTTCCATACATATTCCAATGATACGTTCTACGGTTCATGAGCAAACTGTAGATTACTAATTATTTCAACTATTACAACTAACTGAATATTTCTATCATTTGCTTAAATACAAAATAAACCATCTTGAGGAAGTCTAAATTTCACTAAATTTTTCTTACAAGGTATGGGTAGATATATTGTAATAGTTAACGTATTCACTGAAATATATCTAGGCAGCATTTAGTTGATACTGGCAAATGAAACGTCGAAGCACACTGCCTTTAACATTGCGTCACAAGCACACACGACCGCCGAGTCAATTCACGTACTAAATTGCAACATTACTTAAACGACTTGAGATTGATTTTTCAATACGAATTGTTTGCAGTGCGAATTCAATCTGTGAGCCACGGAACCTTCTTCGTTTTAGTCGTCGAAACGAGTTTGTTCACTTAACTTTGAATTATATTGCCAATTTAAATTTAAAATTGTTCATAAATTCGAGCTTTTAAAGCATCAGTTTTTGTCTAATATTAAACAGGTTTTGGTGCTTGAATTTCTCCAACGTTTTTGCCCAACTGGTATTTTTAACGTTCGCGCGACTTTCTATTACTACTGCTTGGGATTTTTAATATTTCCTTCGTCCAACTACAATGCCACATATCTACCTACTATCTATTTACTGTACATATATAAAAATATTAGTAGGAATATTTAAAAAGTATTTACTGTTTTTCAAATTAAATTCGTTGCACGTACAAATAGTGATACGAGAAATACAGTTAAACAAACAAATTGTTTAGTAGCACTAGAGCCTTGTGGGATACTTCCTTCGGGGTAGTACTGCCACCTTACCTATTTTTGCCGCCAAGCAGTCATGTCAGTATTACCGGGTTCCGGTCTTCAAGGGTGAGGGTGCTGGTGAAATTACAGGCACATGGGACTTGCCAACGTGTCACGTCAATGGGACGTGTCGCTTAGCGTCAGGCGCATGTATTGTTCGTCCCGTCACTTGGTATTATAAAAAAAATACCATTTTTATTAAATACACAATTTGAAAGAATTTGTTTATAGATGAAAAAAGTTACCCAATAATATCACAGCAGCTCAATCCTTTTGTGCAAGACTTGATAATAGTAATATCCAATTTTTTATTATAAAAAATTATGATTGTGACGATATTACACCATTTTACCGCAATGCTCTGCCTTAACTCTCTCTTAAACGACAGTAAATGACAATTTTCATTGGTCTCGAATAATGTCGTCGAAAATGAGACTGTCGTTTTCCTTTTCGGCCTCGACAATCGCTAAAATAAACTGTTTTTGTGAATTATAAACCCATTTCGAGCCCTTTCACGTTTTCTATTCATAACAATGCCATTTGGCTGTCTAAGTGCACAACTTTCTGTTTGCATCTTTATTTTGCTATGTACTCGATATCTTTGTTTTTCCTTTGTTTCCAAATTTAAGACATTGTAGATATCGCGGACCCTTTTCGCAGTTGCATTCAAAAAGCACCTTTTATTCTACCAATGAAAATTTTGGAAACCGTCCTATTAATGTACACAATAACCTACATCCTTCGCAGTTCACATTAAACTTTGATGTTGCAGTATTTCAAAGTCGTTAAGGTTCAATTTTGTTCATATTGAGTTTACGTGGGCCTCCGTTACACAGTCCATTCGTAATTATAAAAGCTTTCAGCTGTATCTTTATAGTTTTCAACGGAAAATAAACCGCACAGTCAGCACTTATCCTACCAGTGCTTAGGAATACCCCTTAAAGGGAACAAGCGGTCTTCTTTGTTGCTCTCTGTACAACTTTAACGATTCGGCTATCCAACAATTAGTTACAAATGACCGTCGCAAATGTTCCATTCTTTGAATCGGTCACAAAAATAAGCGATATTTAGGAATTAGAAACTCATTTGGCCCTTTCACTTTCGCGGAAAGACGGTGGCTTGGCTTGGCGGTGGCGACTACGACGGCGGCGACGGCGGCGGCGGGCGTGAGGCTCTCCCAGCTTCTAACTCGGTCACTTATGTAACTACAGCTTTCACACATTGCGTCACATTAGATGTACCTTTGATAGAACTATATATAGAATATGGATTTGTATAGAGCTTGGTTAGATTCAATATTAACTAGACAGTTCGGTAGAGGATTTTTTCTTGAAGTCAATTGAGCAAAAGGAAAGTAAATAGGGTGTGTGGCGACGCGAAAGACAGGATGGTGTTTTACCAAAATGATGTCATGAAAAAATCCATAGGAAAAGCAGTGTATATTTTATGTATTTTAACCGGTGTCAATGTAGGAAGAAGTAGTGGAGTAACGCCAGCATACTCGTGGTACATAGATCCTTCCCTACCCTTTGGTAGGCCACATGGTACCAGCACTGCTCAAGTTGGTCACGCCTGAATGCACGGAGTAGCTTCGACTTTAGTATGTCAGCCAAATCACATCCATAAAGATAAAAGGTTCCTTTGTGCAGTTCCGTACTAAATTATGCAAATTCTACACACTATTGTTGGGTCGTGAATCACAAATTTTTA